GAATATTGCTCTTTCTTGCAAAGGAGGGAAACCAGATGCTTTACTCTTTCCTAGCTCACCAGAGGGGTTCCCCAAAAGGGCCTCAGTCCCTCGGGACAGTCCTGCGGCTCTTGTACGGCAGCACCCAGCCCACGAGGATCCCCCGCTCCCCACCAGGGACAGGGAGTGGTATTTACTTGTACCAGTTGTTGAGCCCTGCCTACGAGGAACTGACCCTCACGTGTGCTGGAGGCCAGAGCGGGAAGGGCCGGTGCCATGGGAGGTGGACAAGGCAGTGGGGAGCCCTGCAGGGGAGGAGTGAGCCCTGGGGGAGGGTCTGCCAGGGGAAGGGCGAGGCTGTGCCAGGCTGGACAGTGTGGGTGGTCAGAACAGTGGAAGTGGCCATGGGAAGGAGGCTGGGGTGGCCAGGCCACAAGGACCCTGCAGGCTGAGGTCAGCTTCCTTTCCCCATGCAACCTGAGCCTGTGTCCCCAACCCTCAGGACGCTGTCCCCCACGGCACCCCTGCCTGTGGCCTTGAGGGTCCTTGCACATACTGGCTAAGTGTGCAGATGAGGGCCAGTCTTCCCAGGCCCTGGAAAGGCTGTGGGTGCTCCAGGAGCCCCCGGAGCGGGCTTCACTGGGGAGCACGTGTGTCTACCTGCGATCAGGCCTCGGATGGTGCCGCCACGTGGGGTGTGGAAGGCGAGGTGGAGTTGGCCTCCTGGCACACTCTGGGGGGCGCCTCTTCTGGGGCTGTGCCTCTTCTCTTAGGGGTGGCACCTGGCACGTGGCGCTGCTTCACCGTGGAGAGGGAGGGTACAGAGGGGGGTTTGAGGAGGTGGGATGGGCAGGTGCCTGCAAAGCGGTCCAGGGGGAAGGCACCCTCGTCCGGAGGCTGTAAGTGCCACCGTGCTGCTCACAGGGCTTCTGAGTGGCTCTGTCAGAGCAAAGAGCTGCAGTCAGGGTCCTCAGTTTCCTTGTTGGGGGCCCAGGGGCTCCTCCCTGGGGCCTGGAGCGTCCTTCCGTCTCCCAGAAGGGCCTGGTCACCGGGCAGTAGAATGTGATGTGCTCACTGCCTGGCAGGTGCCTGAGCTGAGCACCCGCTCACGGCACGAGCATGTGAGGGGTTTCTGGGAAAGGCCAGAGTCGCTCTTTGTGCCCCTGCAGGCCTTACGTGTTCCCCGCTGCTCAGCTCTGCTGTCGTGGCATGAAAGCCGCCACAGAGGGCACGTGAGTGAGTTGGCCCAGCTCACGGGCATTCACGAAAGCGAGCAGCCCCGTGGTGGGTCGACCCCTCCACTCGGTGACTGCCCTGGTAGCTACGCAGGGTGGCCTTCTCCTGACCCTGTGCGAGCAAGCCCGGGCTGCTGAGCAGGACCCCAGGCTGGGCGGTGTAAACAACAGAAGTGTATCCTTGTCTCAGGGCTCTGGGGACTGGAGGTGCAAGATCGGGGTGTTAGCAGGGCTGCTTCCTTCCGGGGCCTCTGTCCTTGGCTGGTGGTGGGCCATCTCTTTGTGTCTTCACATCCTTTCTCTGTGCGAGTCTGTGTCCTAGCCGCCTCCTCTTATAAAATCACCAGTCTTACTGGACTAGGGCCCAGCCACGGGACATCATTTTATCTCACCCGCCATTTCAAAGACCCCGTATCCAGACACAGTCACCTTCTGAGGTGCTGGGGGTGAAGACGACATCATGAATTTGTGGGGGATGCAGTTCAACCCGTAACAACCCCTTGTCGTGGATTAGGAAACTGAGTCAGAGAACAAGGTGGGGGCGGGGTTGCTGTGCTGCTCCTGGTTTTCCGGGGGTGGATCTGGCCTGCCCCAGGGCTGGGCTGGAAGAGTTGAACACAGGCGCCAGGGAGACAGGAGTGCATCCTGGGCAGAAGAACCAGCCAGAAAAAAAGCCCTGAGTTGGGGGGTTTCCCAGGGAAGGAGGTGCCACTTGGGCCCTGGAGGGCTGGCGGGGGGTGAAGTTGGGAAGAGTTTGGCGTGGGTTGCGGGGCCTTTGGGAGGCACCACAAGATGGGGGAAGCATGGGCCCGAGGCAGGGCTGGGCGCGGGGGAGCTTGCACAGTGGAAAGCTTTGTTCAGCAGGGAGTTTAAGATTTCGGCTCTGTGCTTGGCAAGGGGGGACACAGCCGTGGACAGTGGGCCCCCAGCCTCACAGAGCTTACATTCTAGTGAGAGCAAAAATACACATGTGACCTAAGGACAGAATGTCACACGGGTTGCAGAGCAGCAGATAGGGAGGCATCTCAGCCAGAAGTGGGGAGGGGTGGCCTCTGAGTGTGCGGCACCCACAGAGGAAGGGCCCCCTAAGCCTGAGAACAGCAGGCGCAAAGGCCTGAGCTGGGCAGGGCAGAAGGCGGCCGGGTGCGGGCACAGGGGGTGGGTGGAGGAGGTTGGTGGGTATTCCTAGGGTAGCCTCGAGCCTTTGGGAGATCTAAGCAGTGGGGGGATCAGCTCTGTGTTAAAAAGCCACTTTGCTGGGTGGGGATGGCCTGTGGGGCAGGAAGCCGAGAGGGGGAGCGGCTGTTGTGGGGAGCCGGTTCCCAGGGACCCAGGAGAGATGAGGGCCCCTTGCTCGGGACAGGGGCTGCAGAGAGAAATAGGGTGTCTTGAGGTGGTGTGAGGCCTGTGGACTGGAGCACCCTGGCCCCATGCCCACTCTTCCTGCTTGGGGTGCCCCTGGGGTATGCCTGGTCCCCCATTGTTCTTAGGTGGACAGCCTGGAGTTTGCAAGCTGCTGGGCTCGCCGCCTCACCTGACAGCTGTCTCCTCTGCCCACAGTTCTGGGGGCCAGGGAGGCCTTGATTCATCTGTTGGCGCATCCCTCTGGCCAGGGAGTAGGCTGGCTGTGCATGGTGGCCTTGGGGGGCGGGGCAGGTCTTCAAGGCCAGTGGAACAAGCCAGAGAAGCTGTGGCAGGCTCCCAGAGCACCCTGCTCTCTGCAACCAGGGGTGGGGGGGCGGGGGGTGTGCTGAGGTCCAGGACAAGGAGGCGGTGGGAGAGCTAACATCAGGGAGGATGGCGTGGGGAGGAGCATTTGGTGCAGGACGGACAGCTTGAAGGTGGTCTGGGCTCTGTCACGGATAGGGGAGGAAGTACCCGCGCTAGAGACTCGACCAGTACAGAAAGTGGGGGGGGGGCACCCCCCAGGCCTTTACTTTGACAAGTCAGTTGCTGTGAGAGAGAGAAGTCCTAATTCCTGTTGCATGGTGGACTCGGCACTACCCTTCTGGGGAATAGTCCTGTGACCCGTGTCAGTGGGGCACATCTGGGGGCTTCGGCAAAGGCTTTCCATGGGGGGACCCTTCTAACTCATAGGGTCCACCCACCATTGGGCCCCAGGTCTGCCTGGGAATCAATTTGAGGTCCCAGGGAGAGACAGACCTCTGCTCCAGCCTGCCTCTCCTCCCTCCTCAGTCCCTGCGAGTCCTGCTGGTACTGCCTGGGGCAGGCGGTGTGACGGAGAAGGCAGCACCCACTGTGATGTGGGATGCCAGGGCAGCCTCGGGGTGGGGCACAGAGCGTGCTGCCCCCTGGGTCTGTGCATCCATCAGCCACCTCATCTGACGCCTGCCTCTTCGTTCCCACTTCACACACAGGAAACTGAGGCCAGCTGGGGCTGAGGGACTTGTCCTTGTTGAGGTCTTGGAGCTGAAAGAAGCAGAGGCAGGCTGTGGCCCCAGAGCTCTTAGGGACAGCTGGGGGCCCATAGAAACATGGCATCAGAAAGGATGCTTCTAAGAGCTAGGCGTGGAGATGGACGGGCAGGTCCTCTCTCTAGCTGGCAGGTAGGGTGGCAGAGGCTGCCTGGGTGAGGAGGGCAGGTGTCCCAGGCTAAGGTGCCGCATGGGGGCGCTGGAGGTGCCACTCAGGCCCGGGGGTGTTTTCTGGATGTGCAGCTCAATGTCCAGGGTTGTGTGTGGAATGTGGCCCTTGGCTTGTGGGTTCTTGGTGCACATCAGCTTTGAAATTGCAAGAGTAAACATAAGCAGCTGGACTGACAAACTGGAATTATGTTAAGTATCCTCTAGTCTCTAAGCTGGGGCTTGGACACAGAGCTGCTTGGACTAAATTGAACATCTCACTCCTGGTGCCCCAACAGGCAAATGAGTGGCATCAGGCAGGAACCTGGCCTACAAAACTGGCAGATCCTGAAGGCTCATCAAGTGTTGCCAGGCAGGCCTGGAGAGGCCCCTGATTCCTCGTGGAACAGTCCAGCACACTGGCAGGACCTGTCAGGAAAAGCCACCTGCCCTCAGGCCTCAGCCCCAAGCATGGTCTCATGGCCAGGTTCCCTCTGATTCTGAACACATCTATCCCACATACATCCGGTTGAGATTGGCCTTGCTAGGACCCAGGCATCCCAGAGCCACCCTCTCAGCAAGAGCCTAGAAGGGCCCAAACCCTGTCCCTTGGAGCCACCAGCACCAAAGGACAGAAGCGGGAGCTAAGAACCGACGTAAAACCTCAGGACAGCAGAGGCCAAACCCTCACAACCAATGCTAACTCTAGTCCATACTGTGAAACTAATCCCCCCTTTTAATCGCAGATACTACCCCCCCATTTTTTTATTGTTAGAAGCTTGCAGTGTATTTTTCTGCTCAGCCATGACTTTTTTTTTTTTTTAACTCAAAGTGATAGTAAATGTGTTGCCACTAAAATGAGTCACTTTGAAACATGTCTGCATGTAAACTTGGTAGAGTACATTTTAGCTGTGTGGGGTGGGGCAGGGAGGGGCTTGTCTGAAGTGGTTTTCTTGTATCGCCCACAAACCTGTGAAGCCTCTGGGATAAGGTGAGAATAAAGCAAGATCCATCCAGGATTCCCCTGGGATCTGTCCCACCAGCAGGCGGCATTCCGGCCATTTCCAAAGGAGGAGAGGGTGTCCCCGTGAGCTCTCGCCGGCCTCCTTAGTCAGGACTCTGTTCTGTCTGTGGTCAGTAACTTGTATTTCTTTTTCTTTTTTTCTTCCCCCCCCCCCCTTTTTTTTTCTCCTAAACTTTCCAGGTAAAAGTACACCTGTAAGCCAGCTTGGTTCTGCAGACTTTCCCGAGCCCCCCGATCCATTCCAGCCACTCGGGGCTGACAGCAGTGACCCGTTCCAAAATAAAAAGGGGTTTGGGGACCCGTTTAGTGGAAAAGATCCATTTGCTCCCTCCTCTTCAGCTAAACCTTCTAAAGCCTCTTCCTTGGGCTTTGCAGACTTCACCTCTGTAAGTTGAGTTCCCTGTGCGCCACCGCTCCACCCTCCGCTTGCAGCTTCTTTGGGGTTCTTTTTTGTCTCTTTGAAACGGCACACCTGGCTTCTGTCTCCTGGTACCTCTACGCTATCCCTTGTGTTATTTATTCTGTACTGCTGCTTTCTGTAAGAAAAACAGTTTCTCAATAAAAAAAGAAAAAGAGCTGCAGTTTGGATACTCTGTGATCAGGCCATGCTTTCTTCCAGCAGGGCGGCCGGATGTGCCCGTTTCTGTCCTTCCTGGTAGACTCTGTATTGTTTCTGTGGCCCGGAGGCCATGGTGTTCATGGATTTTTGGAAGCTGAGATGTCAAACGCTTCCGAAAGTACGCACACGAGATCGCAGAAGTCCCAGTAGGGTTTCACTGTCCCCAAAAGGGTCTTTGTGCAAGAGTTGTGACGGTCCCACCCCAGGGCATTTTGAGCAGCAAGTAAGGATTGAAGAACCCAGGCAGGGCTCGCAGAGGAAGAGCAGTTTGGTCTTTTAGAACTTACTTCAGTTCCCAGCTACGACGGGAAGAAATCCAGCCTAGAACAACCGCTCTGAAGGCCTTTCCCCTTGCCAAACCAAAACCAAAACCCAAACCTAAACCCTTGCGGAGCCATTTAGCAGAGTGGTGAAGTGCCTTTTCGGAAGCTAATCCTGGGATCTGGAAAGCCTGGCTGTTGTTTCTCGGTGTGCAAAAAAGATTCCGGATTACCAAGTGCTGTCACGTGGGGGTGTTTCCAGTACCTTCCTCGGTACCAAGAACCTTGTTCTCAGAGAGCTTCAGATGTTGTCTTCCCAGAATTGGTTTCACCGTCTGTGGCGCACTGTTTTTACTTTATTTCCTGGTTCGGTGCGAGATGCATTGTTTAATAGACACCCTGGCTCCTAGAATATCGGTCTTAAAACCAGCTCTGCCCTGTTGGTGCCCAGTGAGCGCCCGATTTGCTTCAGATCCACCTCGTGCACGGCTGTCCTGCAGCGTCCCTGCCGTCACCCAAGACGCCGGCGCGGTCCTGGCTCTTGGCGACCTGTAAATGTTTTACAACTGCAGTTAGCTCGATTTTGTTGACAGCCCGTGCACGCCGTGGATGTATCCAAACGGCGACAGTATTAATAAAAGCCAAAAACAAAACCCACTTTATCTACCGTTTCTTGAATAGTACTGCATTTGTGTTTTGGTGGAAAAAAAAATATTCAGTGTCGATGAGAAAAAGAGAGCTATTCACGCAGGAATCAGGTACTCTGTTTTGGGTAGGGAAGGGGGGTAAGTAGATGTGATTGGGAATTTGGAGAAATGACTGTTCTCTTTCTGAAATGCATGATTCTGTTTCTGTGCCCCGCCCCACACCCGATGGCTGGTTGGGGGAGAATATTAAAAAACAAAAACAAAACAAAACAAAAAACTCCTGAGGTATTAAGCTGTCGTTTGGCCCAATATCTCTGGTCATTCCAGAAACACCCCCAGTATTGAATCATCCTTGTTTCCCGGTGGGGGATCAGGCTCTGCCCTGTTTGTTCTTTGTTTAAAATCACTTTTCCCGCTTTGGATGCCGCAGTTTTTCCGGAGAAAACACCCGACAGCGGGCTTTGGCCCCTCTGAGGGGATGGAGTGCGGGAGAGGCACGACACCTGACTGGCCTGGTTTGCCCCCTTTGGTCATACCATAGTCCAAAAATGGCCAGCCCGTCCCACCTCAGGGCACTCAGGATGCCTTTGCATTTTTGTGACATCCGGGGACCCAGTCCGTTGGCCAGGGGTTTCTGGTTCGCGGGACCTCGGAGGTTTGTGCTAACTCAGGACAGGCGGGAGTTGGGCCCTCCAGGCCGTGTATTTCCGTTTCCCCGAGGTACATGCTGGGAGGTCTCTTGCTGCCCAGCGGATTGGCAGCGTGGCTCGTTCAGCGCAGACGGTTCTTGAGCGCCACCAGGACATGCTGTCAGCAGCGCTGGACTTCAGGGAGGCCGATGGCACACACATGGGCAGCCCCCCCCCAGGGCCCCAGCTCTGCCCCCCTGGAAGCCTCTCACTGATGAGCCCCAAGTTTCCATCAATGGGTTACTTGTGCTTGTAGCCGTTCACAGGAAATGTCTCCGAGATTTCTTTAAAAACAAGACTTTCTGTCTCAGGCAAATGTGTTTATTAGGAAGTAGCCTTTATAGGGTAGCAAAACGGCTCTTTTTTCCGCAAGTCTGCGTTAAGAGCAGAGCGACTCTCAGATGGGATGTGCCGCGCCGGGGGTCGTCGGACCAGTTGGATGCGACCCTGACATCAGCGTGAGTGAGCCCGCGGGAGGCAGCTGCAGGCGGCCCATGCGGGCCAGGGCGGGTGCTGTCGGATGCCTCAGGCCCCGGTGAGCCGTGGCCCCGGGTGCCTTCGTGTGCGTAGCCATCTGAACCCCGGATTTCTGCCGAGAGGCTGCTGAAGGAAAACCGCTTGGCGTCCGCCCCGTGCCCGGGAGGTGCCTCGGGTGGTGGCATTCTGTGCCCCACTGTCTCAGCTCCAGGACGGCACAGGGGTGAAGCAGGAGTCACCTGCCGCTCCTGGAGTGGCGGCTGCACCCACAGGTGCCCCGGGTTCTGGCCGTCACGGTGCATGCAGGTCGGAGGACCAGAGTGGCCTAGGCGAGGGGTCTCCACTGGGGCCAGGAGAGGCTCTTCTGCTGGTTGGAGCCCAGAGGGACCCGCAAGCAACCCTCTTCCTCCAGGTCCTCTCTCTCGGACACTGCGGGCCAGCCTGCTTCTCAAGTGCGCACAAACCCCAGACGGGATCCAGAAGCCGGCCCCAACCCAGTCTGCTCTGAAGGCATCTGGAATGTTCCTGTCAGCACATTTCATTTGAAAATGGGGACCCCTTGCGCAGGAGGCTCTGCAGGGACATCCCGAGACTCTGGGGCTGGGTGGGAATCGTGGTGCGGCCCTGTGGCCTCAGCTAATACCTGACCCCTCCTGGCCTGGCTTCCAGGCTGTGGCTGGGTCAGCCTGGCCGTTACTTGTCATTCCCCCACCTTCCCCTCCTCTGGGCTGACAGAGGGCGAGGTCCCTGTCCGCAGCACTGGGAAGCTGTTTCTGCCAGTATTTGTGGTTTTTTCCTTGTTTTTCTCCTGATGAGGTGTTGGAAAATTCCCCAGAGAGTGCGGGGGTGGAGGCTTTCTGTGATGGAAACAGGAGGGGTGGGGACCAGATTCCAGGGAGTCCTACCTGGAGACCCATCGGGCCCTGAACGGTTTTCTGGGTAGTTTCTCTAAGAAACTAGGACTCAGCCTTTCTTCCTGAGGATGGCTCTTCTTCATGCTGACCCTGTCTGTACCTGTCCCCACTTGACCCCCCAGGGCCTGGTGGAGGGAGGCCTCCTCTCCTGCCCCACCTCCTTCTCTAGGCCACATGTGGCTCCCTCCACGGCCCCCACCCCCACCACACCTGCACACAAGCCCCTGGCAGCCCCTCCCACCCCGTGCTCTGTTCTGGCAGTGCCAGGCTTGGGCACTCGGTGCTCCCCACCCAGCGCCTCACTCTGAAGGTGCCCTGTTGCCCCAACTCTGCAGCTGTAGCTGGCTGCCCCCGCCCCCCTCCATCCAGACCCAGACCCAGAGAGAAGGTCCAGCATGTTGAGGGCCCAGGCTCTGCAGCCACCTCTCCGCTGTCCCCAGGCTTCCGCATCCCCATCTGTTGGAGGAGCTCACCCTCCAGGTTGTCGCTCAGGCTCAGTACATGTGTGCCGAAGTAGCTGTGAATCTCTGTCGTGCTTCCTTCCCCGGTGCTCCCGGTGGGGTCTGTTCGGGCCTCCACGAAGCCTGTGTCAGATCGGGATTGTCTGTATGTCTGCTCCCAAGGGGCACCTTTTGGAGGGCCGGCCTACGTCTTTCTTTGGTGTCCTCCTGTGCTTAGCAGAGAGCCGGCAGAGCCGGGGCCGAGAAGAGAGACACGAAGGGACCCGAGCCCATGGACAGGCCGCAGCTTTGCTCGGGGTGGGGGTGGGGGGGCATGTGACTAAGGCCCGTGGGAGAACCAGAGACCCACACCTGGGGAAGAGCATTTGAGATCTAGCTTTGCTGTGCTCTCTGTAGAAGCTAAGGTGCCTTGGATGGTTTGAAACCACCCATCTTGTTTACAGGTTTTCTCCTTTGTTTAAAAAAGTGGTTTTTTTTTTAATTGGACCTTTTGGAAAAGGACGTCAAGAGCTCCTGGACGGATCAGCAGCGTAAATGCCAGGGCTCCTATAAATGCTCAAGTACGAGGTGGCTCCTAGAGGGCCCAGAGCTCCCCGGGCCGTGGCTGGGGTAGCGATGCCACATTTCAAGACTGTGTCGCCTGCGCACATTTGAAACGCACCGCCATGTGCGTGCCACAACTCTCCAGTCCCAGCACCTCCCACCCGCTGGTGTCGTCAGCCTGTCATCGAGGCCCGGGCCTTGTAGGTTTGCTGTTTGAGCTCGTCGGTGCAGCTGAGGGCTGCCGTGGAGCAGAGATCAGCGTCGTGCCCTGAAAGGAGGCGGGGCGGGGGCCCCTCCCTCACACCCCCTTGAAGCCTCAGAGACTCCGAGCTGGGGACGTGCGCGAACCCTCTGTGTCCCCAAATGGGTGCCTAGCAGTTGCTTGCTTTGGCTCCCTGCAGAGGGCTGAGCGGCTAGTTTCTCTGAGGTCCGAGGTGGTAGCTGGGGTCATACTCAGCCCTGTTTCTCGGTGCATGTGACTGTGAATCGGGATTGGGGCGTGCATGTCCCCTGCCCGCTCCCAACCAAGACACGGGCTCCTGGCGTTTTCTGGTTTTCACGTGCACACCAGGCAGCGCACCCCCCCTCCGCCCAGCGCACCCCAGCATTGCGTTTCCCTGCACCCCGACAGCACGCGACGGGCGTCCTCGTGCCCTGCCCCGCCCCCCCAAGCATCAGGTCGCAGCTCCTGGGCCAAGTAACCCAACCTCCATTTTCCTTTGCAGTTTGGCAATGAGGAGCAGCAGATGGCCTGGGCCAAGCGGGAGAGCGAGAAGGCTGAGCAGGAGAGGCTAGCACGGCTGCGGCGGCAGGAGCAGGAGGACCTGGAGCTGGCCATCGCGCTCAGCAAGGCTGACATGCCCGCCGCCTAGGCGCCCGGTCCGGGGCAGCCCCACCAGAGGAGAACACTCCAGCCTATCTGTGCACGCACATGCACACGTACACACGCACACACACAGACGCACACGTAC